CTTTGACTTTTAGAAATCTTCTATTTCTACTTATGTGTCTGTGTGTTTGTAGGTGTCCACAGAAGCCAGAAGAGGGCGTCAGAGCCCCTGGGGTGTGAGCTGCCTGACATTTGTGCTGGGAACCAACCTGGTGTCTTAAGTTCTGTGCATGACTGATCCGTCTCCTCACCATCCCGTTATTGATATTTTAGTACCCACGGGGGAATTTGAGATCCAGAACTTTGGCCTAAAGACTTTCAAACCATCATCCTCTCCCCAGCAAATACTAATTTTTGAAGATTTATTAGCCTATTAGAGTGAATATAACAGGGAACTAGATTTCTTGGCTGCTTCCTTATTTGGGCCTTTAGCTGGCCTGCCATTAACCTCAAGCCTTTCCCTCAGCCTGAGGACATTACACCAATCAAAATTTTCTTGTAAAGCCAGTGGGCCAGAGAAAGACCCCCAAGCAGGAATAAATGGAACAATGTAGTTAAAACTGTGTGGAGAGAAAGTGGGCTTTCCAAAAGCAGCGTGTTATCATACTGACAGATTAGGCATCTGAAATCTACATATTTCTGTCTCCCACATTTCTGGTTTTGAATTTGCCTACCTGGTGATCAGGTACCTGAACACAGCTCCCTCTGCCTACTCATGCATAAAAATAAACAAGCATTTCAGTCAATTTCTTGACATTCACTGATTAGTATGTATAAGAATCTATCTCTCTTTTCTGACAGGCTGACGTCTTAGACATCCCTTGCAATTATTTTTGGAGCCCTGTAGGAGCCTGTGGGACTTCGGTGTTTTAAACTACCTGCGTCACTATGTTATGGTAGGATTTATACAACTCTACTTTCTTTTACCTGATATATAGTTACACTAGAAATGAAGAACTTCTGATATGTGAGAGGTTTATTTCTGGAAAGAAAACGATTTCTTAAGAAATGAACTAGGCCAAGTAGGCCACGGAGCTGCACCTCTGTAATCACAGCACTTGGTAAGGTGAGACAGGAGGATTGCCGTGAGTTTGAGGCCAGATTGGGCCACATTGTGAATTTTAAGCATTATAGTAAAAGCCTGTCTCAAAAAGGCAAAGAAACAAGATTAAAGAAAAGCAATGAAATAAATAGCAAAGTGCGTTTGTTTGGAAAAAAAATTCAACAAAGAAATCCTTTGCCACGAAACACTAAGACATGTCATCAGACAAGAAGAGACGTGATACAGAGGCTGGCAGTCACCTCTCTGGCTGCAGGGGTTGGATGCAAACAAGAGGTTTTGCTGATGCCTTTTCCATGAAATCAATTATTTGAAATAAAACTGTAATTTTCTAATTATGTAAAACTGTGTTAGAAACATCCAGTTACATGGCTTTAAAAGGTGCCCTAACCCTTGGTGGAAGTTGCTGTCTATTTCCAACCCCTTAGGGCAGGCCCCTGCCTTGATCCCCTGTATAAATTCAAAATTTTTAAGTCAACTTAGAGGCCATGAATACACTACCAAAAAAAAAAAAAAAAAAAAAAAAAAAAAAAGTTTCCTGAAAGTAACCATGGGGCCCACCTTCCAGGGATCTCCCCAGCAGGGAAATTAATACACATACATAAAAGAGAATGTAAAGTCCAGTCCAGGGCATGCCCAGTGGGTAAAGGTGCCTGCCACCCAGTTTGACAACCTGAGTTTGATTCCTAGGACCCACAGGATGGAAGGAGAGAGCTGACTTCTACATGTTGCCTTCTGATCTCCACATGTGTACATCATCCCAGCATACAGAATAGATTAATGTAAAAGGAAAAAGAAGTTTTGTTTGTTTTCTGTTTTTGTTTTTTGGTGTGTGTGTGTGTGTGTGTGTGTGTGTGCACATCCTTCATGCAGGCAAAAGAAGGAATCGGACTGCGTGGATACTGGAGCTACTCACTGAGTGTGAGCAGAGTTAAGCCTGAAGGTCTTGTCCCCTTTCACTGGGTTTTACTCCCCGAGGCGATGGGACTGTTAACTGTTCTTTCCCTTGTGCCCAACCCATCACACTCTATCCTCAGTGACTCTTGGTTGAACAGTAAATGAATATAATGGAAAAGTTGGACTCAATGATCGTTATCAAAGAGTAATGGCTACTCTGAGGGCGATAAATCACTCACTCTAAGTCAAGGGACTATCCCAGGACTGTGAACTCCAATACCCTCAGGGACAGGGATCTAACCGGAGTGACAGCAGGGACGCTCGGGGAGTGTTGCTAACGCTGGAAAACCCTGTCTTATGTATCAGAATCCACCACAACGCCCATCACAATGCTGATAGCATATTTTAAGGAAAACAAAACAAAGATAATAATCGGGTGCCAGGAGTTTTGGGGGTGGTGGTGTGAATCTGACAATCCCTGGAGCTTTGGACTGGGTAGTTCAAGTTTGCGGGTGAAGACATCGATGACACTGGTCGCCAAGGGCCGCCTGGGGAGGGCCAGCTCCGAAGGCCTCCTCTGCCAGCCATTCAGACGACCTGGTGCTGACCGTGGGGAAACAGTGTCTGGCAGACAGTGCTGAGGCGTAAAGCCCCACGGTAGGAACCTCCCTCAGCTTAAGGCTTTGCTGGAGAAGCACACTGGCTTTCGCCTTTATGCTTAGTTTGGAGTTTCTTGTCTCTCCTCGAGATTTGGAAGAGGTGCTAGTTTATCTGGTGGTTCTTCTGTGTTTCCCTACTTTATCCAGAAACATGAAAGCTAACCCGCTTTCATATCAGCATGAGGAATCTGGGAATCCCATTTATCATTTAGATCAGTCACCAGCAATGGGCCAAATATGTTTACTGGTGTCAGGTAAAAACAAGTGTAAGTCTCAGGGTTTTCTTTTTATCCCCAAAATTCTTACGTTGTTTATTTATTTACCTGTGTGTGTGTGTGTGTGTGTGTGTGTGTGTGTGTGTGTGTGTGTTGGAAGCAGGCTCTCTCATGCAATGGCACACGTATGGAGGACTGGTGGGAGATGTCATTCTGTATATGTCTCTCATACTGGTTAATGAATAAAGCACTGTTGGCCAATAGGAAAGCAAGATAGGTGGGACTAGGAGACAAGGAGGAAAGAGGAAGGAGTAAGGAGGAGTCAAGATGGATAGTCTGGAGAGAATAGAACTGCCATTCCTCCGCTCTTGGTAAGACCACGTGGAAATACATAGAAATGGGTTAATAATTAAGACAGAGCTAGCCGATAAAAAAGTAGTAACTGGCCAACAGTATTATATCTAATACAGAGTCTCAATGTGTTGTTGGGGCTGGCATGGCAGCGGGACCAGACCACCAGCGGCGGCAGGCAGAAAAACCTTACACCTTACAGAGGACAAAGAACAACGTTTCGGAGTCAGTTCATGCCATCTACCATGTTGTCTCTGCTTCGGATGGGGCCACCAGGGCAGAGGCTCTTGAATCTTAAATTCTGTCTCGGCTTGGAATCACGCCATAGCAGGGCGATGTGTGGCTGCATAGGCATTTCACACAAGTTCTGGGGCTGCAACCAGGTCATCAGGCTTGGACAGGAAATGACTTTACCTACCGAGCCTGCCCCCTTGGCCCAAAGGTCTCAAATCTAGTTTTTAAAAATCACGCTGGTTTTATGTTGCATGCACACGCGTGTGTGCTCTCATGCACATTTGCATTAATGCCACAGTGCACGCATGGAGGTCAGAGGGCAAAGGTAACTGGTGCCCTGACCTGCTGAGCCATCTCACTGGCCTAAAGTCTCAGATCTTGACCCCAATTTTAGAACAGGTGGGTGATGGGAGGGGAGGGGCTCAGCCTCAGCTGATCCCCCCTTTTTTAACACCCTCAATTGCAGGGGCCGTGAGAAGGAGCAGGGCCCCCAGCTGATTCCTCCTAAGTCTCAGTTCCCACCTGCACGGCTTTGGCCGGCTCATGTTCCATCTGCAGTCTTGTTAATGGGCTTCTGAAACTGGGGAGTTGCTCCCCCCCAATGGATTAGACTCCCAGACACAGAAACGGTGGTGCCCGAGGGCAAAGGTCCTTGTTCTTCACTAAAGAGAAATAAACCATGACCTTTCTCTCAGGCTTTGCCGCTGTCACCTGGCTGACTTCAGTTTTCTTGTAGTCACAGGGACCCAAAGGTGTTTGCTCACATTCTTTCTGTTCCACAAGGATTAAGAAGGTGAATAATTCATCAACCAAGCTATGTAGCCATATGTATCCACTCTAAGAACTACGCAGCCATCTCTGCAGATGGATGGCCCAGGCTGTTCATATGCCACCTTCGGAACTTCTGGGCTTCAATCGATAGTTTTGGCCTTTTCTGTTTTGCAGACTGGGTCTCACTGTGCCCCAGTTTGGCTTTGGACTTGGAATCCACCCCAGAAAATGCCTAATATTGGTTTTAAAGATCCGCTTTAATTTATTTACACGTTCTTTATAATTACTTTTAAAATGTGTATGTGTACCCCACATGTGCAGTACCCTAAGAGGCCAGGAGAGGGCACTGGATCTCTCGGAACTGGAGCTACCTATGGTTGAGAGCCACTTGAAGCGGGCACTGGGAACAGAACCCCGGCCCTCCACAGGAGCAACAGGTGCTCTTAACCAGCAAGCCATCTCCACCTCCATCTTTACTCATTCTTATGCTCTTTATGTAAACAGTTCATTTGAATAAAAGGAACGTTCTCCTCATCGTCATAATGAGAAAGCAGTATCACTTACCCAAACTGAAGCAAACAGCAAGCATACAATGCAAAGCCAGCAATGGAATTAACGTCTGGGTGGATGGATACTGCTGTCAACGTTTACAACCAAAAGCCTCTTCATTTACAAAAAAAAAGGGAATTAGCAGAAGTTGAAGGACAGTAGCAAGAAGCAGGCCTTGGGACCAAATGAGGGGGAACCAACTCACCGAGCCCATCCGCAGCGCCCACACATCACCACGGTCACGTGTCACGCCTGGGGTAGGACCCACCCCCTACTATCAGAGGATGAGCTGCATGTCTGCTCTGTACGGACGGATGGATGGAAGGATGGACGGAAGGTGGCTTACCATTTGTCTGAGAAATGCCATCAGAGGGGTCCTCCGGGGTTTGTTTTCTTCCTTAACTTTTACATCTGTGGGTTCAGGCCCGGCCTCTCCTTCATTGAGATCCACAGTTTGTAAAGCCGGCTCTACTTCCTCAAACCTCACAGCCTCCACGGGTGGCTCACACGCCGCCTGGATTGTTTTGCCAGGTAACAAGGAAGTAAAACAAAGCAAAACAACACCCACCACCTTTTAAATATTCCCCCATAACATGTTTCATGAGGGGTCTTGGTTCTCCCATCTACAGAGTAGCTGTGGGTTTGAACCTGTGACCCTGTGACTAGTTTCTACGCAGGCGAATCTTCAAGAGGTAATATTTGGATGCATTTAATGAACTCACAGGCAGATGATTGCTGGTCATTGGACAGACCGATACACAGGCAGGCAGACAGACAGACAGATTGGAGTGGAGTTGGCAAACTCCTTTCCCGTGAAGGTGCTAGACAGACAGATGTTCCTTCCACCCTTCCATTCAGAAGCCTCTCTTTGATCTGCCCCCAGAACAATCACACCCAGCCTGCACAGACACCCTGTAGTAATTTGAATGAGAAGGCCCCCAGAGGCTCGAATGTTTGAATGCTTGGTCCCCAGTTGGTAGAACTGTTGGGGAAGGACTAGGAGGTGTGGCCTTGTTGGAGGAGGTGTGTCACTGGGGGTGGGCTTTGAGGCTCTCTCTCTCTCTCTTTGTGTCTACAGATGGTGGATCAGATGTGAGCTCTAGGCTAAGTCCCACCACCATGCCTGCCTGTTGGCATGATTCCACCATGATGGTCATGGACTAACCCACTGAAATGATAATCCAGACCCCAATTAAATGCTTTCTTTGGTAAATTGCCTTGGTCATGGCATTTTGTCACAGCAATAGGACTGTGACTAAGGTAGATAATCAGGCAACACGTGTCAAGTTCTTACTGTGTCAGGGCACCATAACACTTAGATAATGCTACTGGTTCTTACTGTTCTTACTGGTGCTAACATTAAACATATTTACTCCACGACCACGGATGACCTGGAGGAGCATCCAATGGCTTACAGGTCCATTTGGACCTCTTTCAATGCCTATTGTATGATGTACTTCTTACATATGACCTTGGGACATAGCTACAGAGGTAATGCCATTTCCACTTTACAAACGAGGAATGAATATATGTGTATATATTTATGTATATAATTATATATTTTAGAAGACATGTGGTCCCAAAGGCCCTGCTTTCCTTTTCATGAAAACTTGACGTTGGTGTCATCCCTGCCTTTAGCTTAGGGAATGAAGGGGGCTGTGCATTGGCTGATGGATAGCTTTTGGAAAGGTGTGGGTAGAGAAATTAGACAAAACGAGGCAGTTCAACCACATTGCTCCTGGAGTCACTAGACACAAGGCTCTTGTCTCTTGTCACAATGTTACTGGCTTCTAGCTGTCTTACATGGAGGGTCTAGGGTACTGGGCACTGCTGTGGTTAACACTGCTGCTTCTCCAGGGAGGAAGAAATGAAATGAACTTGTATTTTACATACTCCTCCACTCCACCTGGATGCCTAGCCAGCTGGGAAAAGCATAATCTCCCTGGGAACTAGCACACTGATGGTAGGACCAGGGCTCACCATGATACCTGCCACTCACCAGCAGCTGCTACTGGGAGCAGCCAGCTTTCCCGGAAAGAGTTACTGCCTGTCTTGGTCCACTGGGCAAAACATCCAGAGGCAATGCATAAAGGGACACGTGATCCCGTTCTAATAAACTCTGTCAACACTGACATTTGAATTTATGTGACTTCTGTATGTCATTATGTTATTTTTCTTTCACTTTTTTTCGCCATTTAAAAATATAGAAACCCACTCTTGTGGGCCAGATTTAAAAAGGTGGTGGGCTGGATTTGGTCTGTGGACTGTCGTTTACTAATGCCTAAATTACCATCTCATTTCATTCTTACCAGAGCCACAACCTGGTTCCATCAGTATCCCCATGTAACAGATAAGTAAACTGAGGTTCAGGGGGAAATGTTACCTGGAGATAATGGTGCCTGTGTCATAGCTGTTTAGTCTTGTTTTCTGCAAGTTGTGGATAGCTAGATGATAAATTGGAGCCTTAAATTGGAAGTGTAAGGTTTGGGCTAAGCAAGAAAAAAAAATTTCATTTCATTAAATATGTCTTGCTTTCCTTCACATCCCTGTTAGCTTTGTGCTACCCTTTGATATTACAAAAGTATCTATTCATTCAGCCATATTCCTGGTTTAAGCATATGGTGCAAAGTGCAATGTACTCAGCTGTTTCAGATCAATTCCATATTTTAACACTGAGCTGCAGGGAATACAAGGATCCTAGGATGAATGGAAACACTACATTTTTTTTTTTCACCAAAAAATTCTCTTCAGAGAACTCAGAATCTCCAAGCTGACTTGAGCTTTTCAGGTTGACAGTAAGGAAGATTCTGGGTTTGTAGAAAATACCAGATAAACTCACAAGGACTTTCTAGAATCAAGAGAGGCCTGAGCTTTGCTGAGCTGTTAACATTGACTCAAGAAATACAAGAGGAAAGAATATAATGAAAGGAAGGATGAATGAATGGACAAGAGGATGTATGAAGGAACGGAGGGAGCAATAAATAACAAAACCAACCGACTGTCAAGATTCCTCTCCTAATCAGAATAATAGCACATCTAGAGGAACGATGGGAACTAACTGGACAGGGGAATGGGAAGAAAGAGGAGGGACAGGAGTATGGGGGTAACACACTCAAAGTATACCATACACTTGTATGAAAATGTCCTTATGTAATTCAATACCACGTGAAGTGAATGTATGGCGATGAAAATAAACTGCATAGAAGGAATCATACACCTGGGTGGTGGTAGCACACACTTTTAATCCCAGGACTCAGGTGGCAGAGGCAGGAGGATCTCTGTGAGTTTGAGGCCAGCCTGGTCTACAGAGTGAGTTCCAGGACAGCCAGGACTACACAGAGAAACCCTGTCTCAACAACAACCAAACAAAGGAATCATACACAGCTATTCCAGTGTTCACTGGCTATCATGCTAACTAATGTTTGCTTGCATTTCCAACATCTATTTGGTTCCAGTAACTAAAGAAAAATGAAAGCATACACACTGTTCATGGTAAGCGAACAGGAGACTCCAGAGCATGCGAGCACATTTTGCTTTGGCAAAGTAATCATGTACTTTTGTCATTTTAAGAGGCAGTGAATTCACGTATTCCGGTCATAAAAATGTCCAAAGTCTGCACTGCTTTCAGCATGAGAGATGCTGTCTTGGGCCTGAAGCTACCAAGGTTCTGTTAGTAATCTGTCAGGATGAGCTTTTCAAAAGTTACGTGTGTGTGTGTGTGTGTGCGTGCGTGTGTGTGTGTGTGTGTGTGTGTGTGTGCGCGCGTGCATGCGCCACAAGAGACACAGAGAGAGAGAGATCTCATGCAACATTATCCCTTTGAACTGTTCTAAAATTTTTTTTTTTTTTTTTTTTTTTTTTTTTTTTTTAGTATTTCTAAAAGATTAAAGTCCAGAAATATCTGGCCATCAGTCAGTCTACCAGGTGCAGACCTCTGGGTCAGCTCTCTAGTGGAGACAACAGTCTGGATCATTGCCGTAAGACATTCTCATCCGTGACACAAATGGCTGGACTTGATTACCACCCAAAGTTAGTGAGAATCTGAATAACCATGGAAACAAAGGTGAAGGAGCAATCAAAGCAAAAACGAAGCAGAAGATGCAACCCTGTCCCTTAATGATGTGCAAAGCCATTACTACATGTAGTAGACTCGTTCAGCCCCTACAGGATGACAATCTGAAAAGGGGGATGCTCTGATTTTAGATATACTTTTGCATAGATTCATTGGAAAGGTAAAGAACTGATCCAATGTTGGTTCCCCACCTTGGTCCCTGATCACGGGAAGGGATGAAAGAGTCTACAGTGGAAGTATAATACAGGGTATGCAAAACAAGGCATCCCCAAGCTGAATACCCAATGGCCCAACACATCGAAGATGACAGCGGAATGATTTAAGATGGCACTGAGTCACTTACATTCTCCTCTGCACCTGTAGAAAGTGAATCCTCCTTAACTGACTAGAGGAAGATAAAAACAAAAGCAAGAGTCAAGATGTTGCCAAAATAAGTCACGTGAAAGCAAAGGGTATCTGGTCTACCAGTTCCGTAGGGTTGTTCTCAGATACTGAATTGTTAATGTGGACCTGGTTCAAGCAAGCATTTGATGGAGGGCTTCCACAAGGGCAAACAGTATAGCAAGATAATACCATCTGTGCATTTCAAAATGCAGTGAACTAAGAATAAACATAGTGTCCCAGGTAGAGTATGCATGGAAGAGAAATGGTTGTCATAGAAAACACAAGCCACAGAGTTAGTTGTGACAGTGGGAAAGAAACATATTTGCTTCACATTTTCCAGTAGCAAACAAAAACAGAACAATAATAATAACAACTATATAATAATATATAACCTTAGTTATTATTATATTAACATTATTATTGTTGCTGAATATCATACATTTCAGGCTAGCCTTGAATTTATTCTAGTCAAAGATGACTCTAAATTTCTGATCCTCCTGCCTCTACTTTTTCAGGACTGTGATTCCACGTGGCAGTACCACGTGTACTACTATACTCACTCATATGGTGCTGGGGAGCAAAGCCAGGGTTTCCTGCATGCTGGGCAAACATTCTACCCACTGAGCTACATTCCTGGCCCAAGAGGGAAATATAGTCCTTCAACACACAGCTACTGTTAGGCAAAAACAGATAACTTCTTTGGGGGATTCTATAAGAGAACAGAGAAACCCACCCAGGGCTTTATGGACCAAGCAGGCACCCCCACCTCACAAGAGGGTCTAAATCCTTGTGTGACTGCAGTCCTTGGTCAGCACTGGGGGCTGCTCCCTGCACTAGCCCTCAGTCTGAGCCAACTCTGTCTTGCTCAAGTTCAACCTGAATGGAACCATCCATAAAACTCCAATCCAGATACTGTTTTATCTCCCTGGAATCACCTGGCTCTAGAGTTCTGTCCCAGGTCATTCTGTAAATATGTTTCTCTTATTTGTTAATGGGAAAACCTACTCTTAACATTGTCAGTTGGCTATGACTCTGGAGGTCATCTTGATTGATTTCCTTCATGGGTACTTGTGGATACAGGCTGCCTTGAGAATTTCCCAGAAACAAAATACTTTGCAAGTGATACCAGTATACTCACAGACCTTCTGTGTCTTTTTCTTGGATTCCAGGTTAAAACCACTCCCCTAGACCCATTTTAGTCCTGCCTAATAACGACGATGACGAGAGGAAGAGAAGGGATATTGACGCATACATCTCTCAGGCACCTGCCACGCCTTATCCCCTTTAACGTGTCTCAGATAACAAGTATATGACCACCATTTATAGCGTAAGAAGGGCCACAGACAGGCCAGTCACTTGCTCAGGTTAAATAGCTAGAGAGCAGAGACACTGTTCTGAAAGCCAAGCCCCCGTTTGGTGAGTGCGAACTTTCTATCTTCCTAGCTGGCTTGGACTGTTTCTTTCTGCTCATGTTATTTCCATATGGATGACATCCGGGGCACAGAAGAACCCCAACATTTCTGAAAGCTTCTGTTGATGAGTAAATGACGCCACCGTCAAAACAATTTACAAGGACTGCTGCTTTCCTGGGGTGTGTCCTGGTTGGGGTTAGTCAACTTGACAAAACCTAGACATATCTGGGAAGAGAGGCTTTTAACTGGGAAACTGCCCCCATAACCTTGGCCTGTAGGTAAGTCTGTGGAGTATTATCTTGATTAGTGATCAATGTGGCAGGGCCCAGTCCTCTGTGGGTGCTGCCACCTCTGGGCAGGAGGTCCAGGATTGTATAAGAACACAAGCTTAGCAAGCCATGGGGAGCAAGCCAGTAAGCAGCATCCCTCCATGGCCTCTGCATCAGCTCCTGCCTCTAGGTTCCTGCCTTGACTTGAGCGTTGTAAACTAAAACAAACTCCTTCATCCCCAAATTGTTCTTGGACATAGAGTTTTATCACAGCAATCAAAATGTAACTAAGACAGAGCCAGCCAGTCTCCGAAGCCAGTGGGAAGCTATTTAATATTATACACAGGTAAAAGCACAAGGGATTGTTGGGCAGTGGTGGTGCAGGCCTTTAATCCCGCACTTGAGTGCACTTGGGAGGTAGAGGCAGGCAGATCTATGAGTTCGAGATCAGCCTGGTCTGCAGAGTGAGTTCCAGGACAGGCTCCAAAGCTACACAGAGAAACTGTCTCAAAAAGCAAAAATAAACAAAAAGACTTTTAAAAACCAGACACCCTCAAGCCCAACCCATAATAGCTTCAGGAATCAAAATACTGTTTATGTTAGGTCGAGGACCACCCACCATTCCACACACATACTGTTTAAAAGCAGAGCTCACAGGGTTTCAGGCCTCTTTCCTGTCCCATGTCTCTGAAAAGAGACCAGTCTTATCTGGATGTTCCTGTCTGTAAAGTTCCTAGTGTGTCAGTTGCTCTCTGTGTTCTAGAAGACAGTGAGCTTGGTATAGATGACAGAGGAAGATAGGAGTTCATTCTGAACACCAGTGTCCTTTGATCTTCACAGTGGCTTTAGATTTCCAGATCCTTCTACCTGTTGGGGGGTTTGGGATCTGGCTCCGTTGATAGCATGCTTGCTTAGCATGCACAAACCGGAGTTCCACCCCCGGCGTCACATGGCCGGCATGGTGTCACATGAACTGTAAAATCCCAGCACTTGGGAGGTGGAACGGAAAGGTAAGACTGGCTACCTGGTGGGTTCATGGCCAGTCTGAGATTGCTGTATTACACTTTTAAAGTCATACTACTCAGTTGTAGTTGATGGAGAGATCAAACTTCCTCTCCATTCATCTTGTGAGTCCCAGGGATTGAACTCAGGTCATCAGGCTTGGCTGTAAGCACCTTCACCCATTGAGTCATCTAATTAAGGTTCTTATTTTGAGAGCTTATGAGTGCCCCTCATACTTGAGCGATGTTGATAGTATCTTCCAGTTCAAGACAGTCTTGTACTACCTGAATCTACTTTCTGTTTTTCTCTAAATTGACGGTAGTCCTGCTTAGATCAGTCAGAGTGCTATCAACATCTTTGCTGTGTCGACAGCAGCACAAATAAAAGCAAAGGAAGGGAAGAAAACTCTTAAGTCTAAATGTAGTATGTGCTAATAGCTAGCTGGTTGCTGTCTGTGCAAACTGACTCCTGTCTCCCGTCAACCTCAAAGTGAAGGATGTCAAGAGATCACCTGACATTTCCACCAATGTATTTCAGAGGCGTACTGATTTACTGCTTTCTTTGTTCTGTTACAACGAGAACTTCATGAAACTGTTCCTGTTGGGACTCATATAACCTGAATCTGTGTTCCTGGGCCATGGCCTCCAATAATTAACTTCGGAGTAAACTCTTCCTTCCTTTGAGGTAGGAGCTGTGTTTTTAGTGTCAACAGCAACTAAGTCAAGACCCTGATTCAAATGGGAAAAACGTCGCTGGGGGTGGGGTAGAGGTGGGAATGGGGATAATATGCTAGTTCAGTGGTAGAGTACTTGCTTGCCCAGGTTCATGTATATGTGGATTTTTTTGTTTGTTTTGTGTTTTAGACTAAAGTAGTGGCACAGGGAAAAAAAAATCCTATTACTAAGAAGAGACTTCCCTTAATGTCACCTGAAGAGTTAGATTGGAATGGAAAAGGGAACCAGCCGTGCACCATGTAATGTCAAGTGTTTTTAGGACTGTAAACTAAGAACCATCAGATCTGAACTTTGTAGATGTTTGCAAACTTGCCTGCAGGGGCAGCCTCCCAACAATCAGCCACTGAAACATCCGGTTAGCATAAACCTTCGGAAAGGTCAAAAGGCCACTTCCAGCCACCCTTTTGCACCCAGTGTAAGAGAAAATCAACTTAGAACCCGAGTTCTGGTTATTGTGACAGAACAGGCAGGCTCAGGTTTAGTGTTTGGCTGTGCAACCTTGCTCAAGAATCACGGCTTCTCTGAGTTTGGGTTCATGCACCCCAAGGTTGTGTGCCAAGCATGGTGTTGTTTCAGGGGATGTATAAGATAAAGCATGTGTTGGGAAATACGTGACTGAAGCAGAGGTGAGACTGGCTGGTGCTGGTTCCTGGGGTACTGCCCCAGGGTTCCTCTGGCTAATCCTAGAAGGACCCCTATTTGAGGGGGGAAGCCTGGAAGGTGAACATGGGTAGGGGAAACAAGTAGAAAAGTGTGTGTAGTTAGGTCCAGTTGTCTCTAGACTCCTGGAGAAAGCAGAGCATAAGGATGGTGGACAAAGAAGGAAACCAGAAAGATGGATGGATGGATGGATGGATGGATGGATGGATGGATGGATGGAAATAAGAACTCCGGGGAATCTGCTGCCTTTGCAGTCAGTGTACGGGAGTGGCTCTACGAGGCCTGCTGGTGGCTGGTAGGTCGACTCAGACCAGCTCAGCTGCCCTTTAGTTGCCTATGTTCTATGGAGAGACTGTGGGTACTGAGGATAACCCATATCTGATGATTCACCCAGGAGCCTAAGGAGTGACCTTGGAATCTGCCCCAGGGAGCCAATCCGGGTTGGCAGCTTTCTCCCAGTGACGTTGCCAGGGGCACATGAGCTATGCTGGGGTCTAAGAGTTGGGACAGGCAGAATGAGTAGCCTGGGTCTCCCTCTCAATGACTTCTGGGACGGTTCTGTGGTTCGGGCTGATCCTAGAGACATATGGAAGCCCAGAATTTATAGTCACCTGCCTTAGCTTCCTAGCGCCACCCAGATAGGTCAAGTGGGGTGGGACATGGATTTGTTTATTTGCAGCAGTCCAAGGTGACTGATGCAGTTCATTTGCATATGAAAAGCATTTAATACAGCCATGAGTTAGTGATGGACAGGACCGCATCTTGAGCAAGACAGTTTGGCTATGCATACCCCTTCCTCTCTACTTAACCATAAACCTCAAGCCAGGTTAGGGTAGAGTTGGAGGTCAGTGGACCTCTTTATTTGTTCCTCTTCCAAATGTGTCCTCATTAAGTGCCCACCCTTTTTCATAATTGGCAGATTAAGGATGAGTGGCTGAGCCTAGCTCTTAAGAGTTACCAGGATCCAGGCTCTGACCCTAAAAACTCCAGTAACGGAGAGACATCGCAAACACAGCTTCAATCACCCTGGCTCCAAAGTTGCAATGGGGTAGGCAGGGTGTGATGTGAGGCTCACTGCCTTCTTTTAACACAGTGTTCCAGGTCGGATCAACCTCAGCTCGTTGTGCCTGTTTCTGGAGGCCTTCACTGTCCGTTGCCGAGATTGCATTAATGAACTCACCCAGCCTGGCGAGCATGGTGAGTATGCACTCCTCTTACTGATAAACAAATCAAACCAGACTGAGACTGGATCCCAGAGGCTTCCCCAAAGGGAGCAGCCATGTGGGGCAGTTTGTACTCTTCCACTGTGTTCAAATACATCACAGATGCAGTCACAGAGCTCAAAATAAACAGAACAGATACCGATAAAAGATCCAAATCGTGCTAACCACCCACACCACCGGGCTGCCCGTCAGGCTGTTAAGCGCTTGCCCTTGTCCTACGTCATTTGTCACTTCTAAGCATTGGCCACACCATTTGTGGGCTTTGCTGCTATGCAAAAGCCTGTCTTTCTATGGTGGGATGGGGCATGTCTCGATCTTCTCTGAAAGCATGGCATTGGCCACGATGAACACCGTCTAGACCCTGTCTTTCATCTGTATCTGCCCCTGCCTGGTTTCCCAGTTCAATACACAGGGCCTTAGGGCCTGCTCCCCTTCTCCTACCCTCAGAGTCTATGGCTGTGAGCATGGGGGAACCAGATGGCAATTCTGTACTTTCCATAGCCAATGAGCAGATGTGAAGAAGGGCAGAGAAGGTCTGATTACCCAGCATGGGAATGTGTTCTTCGAGGTCACTGGAGAGGCAAGAAGGAAACCTGGACAGAGTGGCCGAGAAAGAGGCTCGATTGGGAGTAAATGGAGAGTGGGCAGCGTTTGGAAGGAGAAGCTCAGCCGCTCAGACTGAAAATAAAATAAACAGGACTGAGGCCAGACCCCTGAGGCTCCCTGAAAGGGAGCAGCCTAGCGATTTAATGCCCCATTGAATTTGAATTTCAGATCAGCAAATAATAATTTTATTGGCACAAGTATGTCTCAAATATTCCACGGAACACACTTAACTTCTGCTAAAATGACTTCTTTTTTTTTTTTTTAAACTAATAATTTTAATAACGTGAGTGTTTTTCAGTTTTTCTATCTCTTTGTGATAGGGAACGTCCAGTATGAGAGAATCATTCAAATCTCAAGAACAGAGTCATGCCCATTCTCCTCCAGAGGCACTTGGCTCTTAACTGGTTAATCAAAGAATAGACTGGCCCCATTAACAACAATAAACACTCCCTCTCCAAGGATCCCATTCAAGATTTGCATATTGCTAAGAGCAAGGAGCTACAAGCCAGACCAAATTCTAGCGGGGGGGGGGGGGGGGGGTGGGGGGGGGGGACGGGGACGGGGGACGGGCAGGAAGCCCCACCCCTAGCCAGGGCACTACTGGCAACTGACAGCTGCTGGGAGACTGAGAATCTGTTTCTTTAAAAGAGTAACCCCTGGTAAGTTGGCCACACTCTAGTGGCAGGCCACACATCCGCAAATAGATGGGCTGTATATATTTGACATGATGAGGGTGAATAAGTTAAAAAAAAAAAAAAAAAAAAAAAAAAAAAAAAAAAAAAAAGGAGGAGGACATATAGCTGGGTGGGTGGGGAGGAGTGAATTGGGGAGGGGCAGGGAGAGAGATGAATACTATCAAATGCATCGAATGGAAGTCTCAGGATCTAATAAAAACATGACAGAAACCATATAAAGACCTATACAGCACGTAGCTTACCCATGTAAGCTCCACCGACAAGGGTTCTCTTGTTTAAAAGAATGTGTCCAACTCTTTGAAAGAGATTTTTTCCGTTAAGATAGGAGCTGGCCCATTTTGATCATGTGATGGTCCCAGCTCATAGATTTCACATGTCACACGAGATCACAGAGAGTCAGACCTTCCCACAAATCCTGGGCATTTCTGGGAGCATCTAGCCCTTCTCCGGCTTCCTTACCTAGTCCCCACATGGAGACAGGGAAGCCTGTCATCGGGTCAAACAGCCCAGATGGCTCAGCATGAGATGTCTTGGAGGTGGGTCAGACCTACTTCGGGGACAGATTCCACCTGTCACACCTTCAGCTCACTACTGTGCTTTGGTTGATGACTCTGTCACTGACAGAGCATGGAGGGCCCTGGGTCACATTTCCCTGTCCAGTCTGGGACTCCCTCTGCCTCTGCCAGCACCAGCTGCAGACAGACCACACTCTTCCTCCCTTCTGTCTCAGTCTCTCTCTGTCTCACACACACCCGACAGCAACCTCTGACTGTGGCCTCAGCACTGGTTTCCTGCCTCCATGCCTTTGCCACTCACAGGACTTTCCCCCTAAACCACTCCTACATTACTTCTGTTCGGTGTGTGTGCATCTTGGAGAATCCAAATTCGCGTTTGCACCAGACCACTTTTTATGTAACCTGCTCCCTTTTCACTGGATTCCTTTCTAAGCGCAATGCACTTGGCCTCACCCTGAGCAATAAACCTGCTTTCAAAAAAGGTAGGTGTGTGTGTGTGTGTGTATGTGTGTGTGTGCCCGCCCACAGAAGCCAGCGGTGTCAGGTCCCCTGGAGCTGGGGTTGCAGGCAGTTGTGAGCCCTCGTGGGGACACTGGAACTGAACCGATTTTCTACAAGAGCAGTACATTTGCTCCGAACCACTGAGCCACCTCTTCAGCCTGCAAAAATCTGTTGACCTCAAGCTTAATATGCTAATATGCTTTGAAGATATGTACAATTCTGTTTTTGTTTGTTTGTTTTGTTTTTGAGACCAGATCTCTCTATTTTATCCTGGAAAAATATATATATTAGGCTGGCCTCGGAATCACAGAGATCCTCTTTCCTCTGCCTCATGAATGGCAGTGTGTGCCACCAAGCCTGGCTCAGTATATTTATAACTACCATGTGTACTTGTATATATGGTATATAGCTATATAGATGACAAATACATATACATAATACATGTAAGTCTCAGACATATTAATATATAATCACTTTTTAAATGTGAGTATTCAAATATGGGTCACCAAAGTCCTGTGCCGACGGTATGTGCACATAAATCATTTGGAAATTGTTTCCTATATTGTACTGCTGGCAAAAGTCTTCTAAATTAGTATGCAGGCAGAAAGAGGATTAAAATAGCATCAGTTAACGTGTTCCAATGTGTGCATGAATGGTTGGAATCAGTGTCCTTGGAAGAATCCAGAAGAAAAACTTTCTGTACAACAAGAAACAAACCAGAAAGTGGCTCAGAGGTCCCGCTGAACTCCCGACGACAGAGTGGAACCGACCGGGCATGCGCCACTGTTTAGCGCAGTCTGCCACGGGGCAGGGGTTTTGCGCAGTCTGCCATTGAGGGAGGTGCTCCCAGCTGTATTAATCCACCCGGCTTCTTGAGTTCAGAACATGTGTGAAGTGGGGTTCATCTTCACTGACACCTAGAGCCCCCCTCTTTTGGAGCACCGTAGCCCGGCCACCACTTATTTCTGTGCACGCTGTACCTCCTGCCACCTGTGCTGTAGTCTACGTCCCCTGCTGGCGATCTGGGTGGGGGGCATCCTTATTTTCTGAAATGGGGATGAAGAATCAGCTGACCAGGGCTGTATCTTGACTGGGAGAGGTGAAGACAAACAGGGGGTCCTCTCCCCAAGCACGGTGCGTGCTGAGGAAGCCCGGGTTATCGACCTTTGCAGAGGGACAATATAGTCACGGCACACCGCAGCCCTCTGTCACCAACCCCAGTGACTCAAAGATTGAAAACTGTCACTTGTTCACATGCCTTTCTCCCCCACCCTCCAAAAGCCTAGGAGTCATGGAGGAAGAAGGCAACCAGTAACCCCTGAGAATCAAAGTCCACCTGCCACTGGAGGTCATTCCTGAGTCAGCTCAGCCGCAAGAACTCTGCAAATGCCTCACAGCCAGACTTACCTTCTTCCAAAACAGCTTTCCCAGGGGCAATGAGCTGGGCCCCGACTTTTCCTTGCTTCCTTCTTTTGCTGTGTCGCTGGCTGTTGCGGGTGTCACATGACTTGGCGGGCTGCAGCCTTTCGAGCTCTTGGTCGCCCCTTGGGTCTCCTGGGCTGTGAAGCTGGCTTGATCAGACTTGAGACTGGTTGAAGTAGCAGGTGAATTTTCAGCATCCTATAAAGTTTTGTTTGTAAAAAGGGAAGTGAAAACTTCAAAACAATTTCAAGAGTAAAAGATTCTCTGTTAAAACAGGCGCAGGCTGAGGCCATGCATGATGTTAACTTTTTTTTTCTGATTTTCTGCTTTATGCAAGTTTCCACTGTGCGCATAACAGTATATATATATATGTATATATACATATATATATATACACACACACATATACATATATGTGTAATTTTCCAGATATTTTCCTTTTGAGAAAGAAAAAAAGGGGGAGACTTGTTAGTAGTGATGCTTACATATGTAAAATCAAGGGGGTAGGTTTCAGGGAAAGTAGGTAAGTAATTAGAAAGTGGAATTCTGGGCTGGCTCTTGGCTCAGTGGGTAAAGGAGCTTGCCTCTAAGCCTGATGACATGAGTTCAATCCCTGAAACCCACATAGTGGAAGGAGAGACTCCTGCAACTTTTTCTTTGACCTGCACATGTGTGCTGTGGCTCCCATGTGTCTGTCTATATGTGTGTACTCACATACATATACATACATGTTCACACATGTGCACATGCACGCGCTCACACATACACACACAATCAATCATTGCAAAAAAAAAAAAAAAGAAGAAAGGAAGGAAAGAAAACAGAGAAAAATATTTTTTTGTTTGTTTTTTATCCAGGCCCTTTGTCTTCAACTAGTATTGACCTGGCTCCCATCCATGGAAATATTCTGAATATACACAATGGCTTGTATTTATTTTATAAGCATGATCAATTTTTTTTCTTTTTTAACCAAGCCAAACTGGAAATTAAGGAAGGGTGGAGATAAATAAAGGCCATAGTAGTTCTGAAATTTTTCTCCCACATCCCACTTTGGAAGATCCAGGCCACGGAGAAGGCAGAGAGCGGCTACGAGCTAATGGAGTTCCACAGACCCCACTCCTACACTCTAGATGCGACCTCCACACCCCACACATAACCTCTTCAAATGTGACACCTGTCCCTGCTCCTCCCTGCCCTTCCTTCCTGAACCTCCACCCCAGCCCTCCTCACCGCCCTCCACAGGCTGTGCCGAAGTCCAGCTCCAAAGCACCTGATGCTTCTTCACCCCCTTTCTCCCTCACCGTCCTTTCTTTTCTCTTTTCTTTCCTCTCTAGTTTTTCTTCTCTTTCCCACCCCGAAGGGCCTCATGCAGCCCAGGCTGGCCTCAGACCCCTGCACAGCCAAGCGTGACCTGGAACTCCTGATCATCTCGCTTCTACCTCTCTCCCCTACATCCCCTTCTTGCCCTCGTGCTGAGAACATAGCTAGGTACCAACCCACTTGCTTCAAGGCATCATTTACTCCCTCGGTGAATCCCTGTTAATTCCTGGTCTCTGCTTTCCCCGAGTCACTGGGGAATGACTATTGACATTCAAGTTTTAACATCAGGCTCTTCCAAACGGTTTCTTTATCCTAAGCATCTTCATTGTCTTTCCTTTGCTCTCTGGACTCAGGGACTCAAACCCTTTAAATTCTCAGATGATGATTTCTGACAATAAAAATGGGATTTAGATCAAAATATATTTAGAATTTCAAAATACTTTTGGTTCTTGATTCTTTCTGGCTGTTTTAAAAGGTCTTTGAAAGTAGCTCTGATTGGGCTACAGCTAGTTATTTCTCTGCCCAGTCTCCAGAGTTCGTTCTGGGACTACAGGTGTGCACCACACTGACCATGGCCCGACCTTTCCAATGTTTATATTTTCAGATAGGGAAACTGGGACCTATGATCTAGCTACCCCTAAACTGAGAGGGGAGGAGGACCAGATCCTGCCATGGCCGGGTTTCCGCTCAGTCGATTCCTGGGACAGAATCCCAGGAAAGCCACATCTGCTTTTGCATTCCCTGTCCGTCTAACTTCTCACTTTCCACAGAAAACTCACGAATGGCATTTTGCCTCCCTTATATAATTTAATATTCTTCCTCTGGATGCTGTATGAGACAGTAAAGGTTCCAGTCTGACTCAGAGGCAAGCTACTCTAGAGGGTAGCCAGGCTGCAATTGAAAAATGACAATGTAGGAAGGTTGCTCAGTGGTTGGGGAGCATCCTGCTCTTGCAAAGGATTGAAGTTTGGTTCCCAGCATCCATCCAAACCACCTGTAACTCCAGCTCCAGGGGACCAATGCCCTCTTTCTGGACTCCCCAGGCACCTGCATTCACACGTGTACACACACACAGAGACATACACACATATATGTGATTTTTAAAAAAGGAATGTCCCATTAAGTTTGAATTTCAAATCAGCAAATAATAATTTTTCTACCATAAGTACATCAAAATATTGCATGAAATAGACTTAAATGTATATTAAAATTACTTCTTTTTCTTAATAATTTACTATATAAAAGAATGGATTTCAAGACAACATAAAATTATTTCTCGTGTGAATGAAGTCTGAATTTCACTGTGCATGCTATATCCTACCTGGTGACCTTACCCATGTGATTATAACAGCTCTGGGGACTATTTTCTTAAAGTAAGTCATCCCCTTGATTTTATTTCTGGATGTGGAACACAGGAGTTCTCAGTGAGGTACAAACATTAGAACAAGAACCCAAAGCAACGGCTATGTGAAAAGTAGAAGAGCTCATTGGCTGGCTTCTAATAAAACAAATAAACAAAATAAAACAAACAAACAAACAAAAAACCACAAAAAACTGCAGTTGCCTCACTGAGAGGATGGGCATTGGCCAAGCGCTTTAAGGCAATGCCTGGCCTTGGGTATGTACACATTGTCACCACACATGGCTTTGTTGGAGTGGCCTTGTTGGAGGAAGTATGTCACTGTGGGGGTGGGGCTTTGAGGTCTCGTCTATGTCCAAGCCCCTTGGGACTGGGGGTTTCGGATGTGCACTGTGCCTTTCTTCATGCTCGAGAGTCTGTCTCCAAAGCTGAGCTCCTTTACCAATCAGGACTGGCTCTGCCACTGTTCACCACTGTCTTCCCCTGGGCATCTATGTGGGCTCAGTATAAACTCAGTCAACAGAGGGAACGGGGAATGCGAATGACAGCAAGGTAATGTTGTTATCTTGAGGTTAGAAGAGGATTTCCCAAGGAGTGGATGGCCTACCACAACTTCTACAACCAGGATGGAAGCCACACTCAGGTAGCATACTTTCTCTCTCTAACTCCTGAGTTAGTGACGTTCAGGTCTGTCTGCTGCTGGGATGGCTCTATCAGTTTCCACCATCAGCCAATCCCTTCCTAAGAAAAGCCTGGAGGACACTAGACTCCAAGCTCTACAGACATGAGCAAGATCATCACTTTTAGTGAGCCACATTAAGGCCATTTTTCCGTTAGGAAAAATCATTCTGGTTTCCACATATGACGGAATGAAGGCTTATTTATTTATTTATTTATTTTGGCATGTTTAAATAGGAATAGTCAATTTTAGTGTAAAAATATCAAGTGATTAATAGTATATTAAAGTAAAGTGGTGAAGGTGTATGCCATCGACTGACGTTTGGGAAACACTAGGTGAGAATTTCGGAACCCTGGTCCACACTCGGAAGGAACCAATCTGAAATGTTTATAGCTATGGGGACAGAAATGCCCCAAGTTCAGGCCTTAGTATCTTCAAACTCCCCCTCAGTGACCACAGCCACCCAAGGCTCAGGATTCCTTGACTTGGAGCTGGTGGACACTGGACCCTAGGCATTAGAGATGAGGAGCAGGGCCCTTTTCCCTCCTAGCAGAGGAGATACAGACCTTATGCCTAAAGAACTTCCTAAAGGCCAGTCCTAGCCTGGGGCTGTCCAGGCGTTTCTTCTTGCTCTTAGCCTGCGTCTCCACCATCTTCTGGCCAGCATGTCCATCACAGACATTGTCTGCCTTGGTTGCCTTCTGGACAACAGCAGGCGTAGCTTAGAAATGTCCTTTTAAACAAACTCACTTGTTCTTTTCCGTTTCAAAGGATATTCAGACACTGTGACAGCTAATTACGGGTGTGTCACTCATCTCCCAGCCACAAAGCACCATGGGAATACTTACCTTTTAACAGTTCTCAAAAATGATTCACTAAACGGTATACTCACAGTCAATTTCAGGCACACATTGGTTTTTAACAGGGTCACCTATGCAAATGACCCAAATCAACACACCTCAGAACTCCATCCCCAACCCAGCAAAAACAACTCCCCTCATGCCTGTTTGCTTAAGGCAGGGACAGGCCGTTTAAGCTCTGATTATGTGACCTAAAACATGAAATGAAACATAACCAAATCCAAAAGGCAAACACTTCAGTCTCTACCAATAGCTTTAAACATGTTGCCTGGGAAAGGAAAACAATAAACTACCCATTGACAACTGATGCCTTGTGTCCTGGTTTTGTTTTCTTGGCTAAATATTACCACCAAATGACTGTCATCCTCACACCAATTTCCTTTGAATCTGAAGTTGACCCTTCATGGAAATAATAGCACCCACAGCGTTTTGAGTGACTTCCATATGGGCAGATTTTTTCCAGGCAAAGGAAGTTTCTGGTGGGAACCAATTCATTGAGCCAAAATGGGAGGAGAGAGGAGGAATCAAAATAACTCTGCTACATCACTACAAACTGCTGACTCAAGTTACAAATGCTGTGAGGCTTTTCAAGAAGCATGTCGTGTGGGAGCAATTACCCAGGGGGCTGGAGAGACGGCTCAGCTGTTGAGAGTACTGGCTGCTCTTCCAGAGGGCCTGGGTTCGGTTCCCAGCACCCGCATAATGGCTGATGACCTCCTATAACTCCCATTCCAGAGGATCAGATGACCTCTTCTGACCTCCATACACACTGTATGCACGTGGCACTGCAGACATGTGGTGCATTTACACACACGTGAACAAGACACCCATACACATGAAACAAAATAAATGTATAAAAATAAGGAAGTGAAAGTATATATAAAGAAGACTCAGGGTCAAGTGTGACAGAGATGGAGACTTTTCAAAAGTACTTTGGAAACTTCAGAGGAAAGATGCCCCAAAGACAAATATAGAGCAAGAGAGGCCTGCTCCTGGGCATCACAAGCAGTCTGTATTCATAATCCCTCATCTAAAAACACCAGTTCCCAGGAGGGACTTTGGTTCAGGGAGATTTTATCAACAAGGTATGCCCAGCGAGGACCACATTTGCTTTGCGGATGGATCTTGGGACATGGAGCAGCTAAATAGAAAGAGCGAATCAGGTCACTTGGGAAGCCACCCAACACACCCACATCCTCCACTGTTGACAGCCCAGTGTGCTGAGCATGGGGCTCCAAGAATTGAAAAACACAGAAACAAGCATCTTGACCCAACCATTCATGGAAGATGACCTTAGCTGCCTCGTAGCAAATGAGTAATCTTAAGGAATCTGTTTTTCAATGGGAGAAGAAAATTAGTCTAGAGTATCCTCTCAATCCACTATGTGATTGTGGAAACAGGGTTGACTACATTCAAACAGGGCTCCACAGTTTGCAAGGTGTTGCATCCCATTCCCTCCACCCTGGGCCAATTTTACAGATGTGGAGATTTTAAGTTAGGGTCTCACAGCCACCGCATCAGTGACCTGGAGTTCAAACACAAGCTCTCTGGGAAGAGATAAAGGGTGCTGCCCACACCTCTGCTTTAGTTAATTCCTTCAACCCTAAGCAGCAGACGAGTGGGGCTGGCTAAGCCACCTATTGCATCCCATCCCTGCCAAAGGACTTCCAGTGCTCTCTCCAGCTTAAACCGTCTCACAGTTTCCAAGACGCTTAAGCCTCATGTCCCACTGCGGGCCACCAGCCCTGTCAGGCAGCAGGAGGAACACCCGTAAGAAGGTGGTGACTTCATCCCAGGGTTACCTGGAGAGGAATGGTCTACTCTTGTAGCCTACAGGCTCAGCAGGATCCACACTCTACCCAGCCTTTTACTGGGCAGGTTCCCATGGCAACTGTTTCAGTTCAATACTGCCTTTCAACAGAGATCACTTTTCAAATTATTTGAAAATGGAAAACACATTAACACTCCCAGAGCTGCAGCAGCTTCTGCCTTCCACTTCAGAGGAAGTCTTTGTCTTTTTTTTTTTTTTTAATGCATTCCCTTGTTTTCTTTTCAAAACAATGAAAAAAAGATGATGATGCTACAGTTATTAGTAACTTGTATCTATTGTATATTTAGCAACTGGGTATTATGACATTCTATAGCCATAGCTAGCCATTTTTCAAGCATCCCACTAAAATGTTTATTAACATACCGTTAACCAGGGTAGGGGTAGAGGCCTCATCTACTAGACAGGAGGCCCTGGATTCAGTGGCCAGCACTGCGGAGTCCAGAATCCATCAAAACAAAACCACAATCTTAACCTAAACACCTTAAGGACAATCTAACAGCACTATTAGATTTCTAAGTAGATTCACATATGTGCATATGTGACATACAATATTCGTGATATGTACATCACTGGAGACACATAAACGCAAATCGAAACCAAATTCTTTGCATAAACCCAGACATATATGCACTTCAGGGCACCTACCGTGTCTTCTGGATCCTTTTTTGTTTCAGTTTTGTTCGGTGAAACCTGAAAAGTGAGAGGAATACAAATGTTAAAAGTCAGCTCTAGCAGGGTGATGGTGGCACACGATTTTAATCCCAGTACTCGGGAGGCAGAAGCAGGAGGATCTCTGTGAGTTGGAGGCCAGCCTTGTCTATAGAGTGAGATCCAGGACAGCCAGGGCTGTTACACAGAGAAACACTGTCTCAACCACCAACCCCCGCCTTCCCCCCCCCCAAAAAAAATCAGCTCTAGAGGGTGACTTGTACTTCATAGAGACATGACTTATTTCATAGAGACGATTCTTCAGGGTGTTCTAGTTTACCACACCAAAAATTGATAAATGAAAAGTACCTTTGACCAAATAGAGACATGAACACCTCTAGGTAATAAACAGTTTATAAAAATCCATAATTTATTCTGAAATGTATTAGATCTTACACATCCACCAAGAGTTTGATCACACTCAAAAATCACTTCCCAGAAGGCTATTAGGTGTCCCCTCAATTCTGTGGCCACTAGTTGAAACACAATACCTGTGACACGTCCTATCGATTGTTTTTTCACTCTATCTGTTAAAGTCAGACTGATATTTGCATACAACCCAAACACATGTGGGAGCAGTTACCGGTGGATTCTATTACACCGCGGCTCCTACGCCACAGGTGAGACTCTCACATTGTTGTTATAATCGCTTCCTGCTCTGAAGCTTTGTCGCTGAAGGCCAGGTGAACAGTTTCCTTAGAAAGAACATTTACGTGTCCCTGATGATAATCTTGCTGTCACAACAGTCAAGTATCCTTAGACACCAGGACAATGAAATTAAGGAAGAAAAACAGAGAACACTACTTACGAGGGTCTTGAAGAAGCTCATGATGGAGTTAGTATTCTCTGTGGTTTCTACCACCTGGGGGTCCTCCTTGTTGGTCCCCAGCACCTCTGGATCCCCAGGGACAGAATAACTCAGAGTGTCAACTTCTTGTCCTCTCCCCTCGCTGTTGACTATGTCCTGGGAACAAAACAGAGTTTTCACAGTCGCAGCTCCTTGGATGTGGTCTCTGAGAGTCTTCCTTTTATTCCACACCCCTCTCTTCCTTATCCCCTAATTCCAGCCATAGCTCTTCTGCCCACGGCCATGCAGGACAATGGGGAGTTTATAAGGGCCCTTCTCTCTTCCCTTCCTCCCTTGCCAACACATTCATCGCACTTGGTAGGAGGGACATTGTTTGGGGCCAGAGGGTAACAAACTGAGCAGTGCATATCACGTCCAAAACAAAACCCCTTTTCTTTCGAGTCTGCAAGGAGGTTGTTGGAGAAGCCAAGGTTTTTCATCTTCATGGTCTCTGTCTGACTATCTGTGTGCTAGGCTAGCGATGGCCCTGCGGGATTTCTCAGAGCAAATCATCAACATAACTACAATAACAAGTCATTCCCCCAGCAACTACTCTGGGAGTTTGTTGGTACCTGGGATGTGATTTGGGAAGGATTTCTTTCCTTGCCCCATTGTTACCATGACCCTGAGCCGAGACACTATGGTCTCTCCACTCCATGACAGCCATGACTCTTGCCCTGTCTCCTTGCGTCCTGTCGGCTCACTCACTCCACGGCTTTATGTTTCACACTGTACCAGCCTCCACTGCCCTGCCCAGACTCTGACTTGGCCTCCTCAGTGTCATTATCAGCGTGGCTCTCTCTGAGGTCTGGCACCTCGCTCTGATTCCTTTCTCTCTGTTCCTCCTGTCCTAATTTCTTCTGCCCCTCTGGGTGCCTATGGGTAATTCTCATTTATCTGCCACTTCTTCTTTTAGGATGTTTTAAAAATTAGGTGTGTGTGTGTGTGTGTGTGTGTGTGTGTGTGTGTGTGTGTGTGTGTGTGCAGGTGCCCATGGAGACCAGAAGAGGGCGTCAGATCACCTGGAGCTGGAGATACAGGTGTTTGTGAACTGCCTGATGTTGACTGCTGGCAACACAACTGGATCTGCTGCAAGAGCAGTATGAGCTGTTAAGGTCTTAGCATCTCTCCAGCCCCCACCTCCCACTCCCAGTCTTAGGTGGTGCCTCTTCCAAGGACCCATCTCTAAAACTCCAGCAAAAGCCCTCATCCCACATCTCTGCCCTTTCTACCTTTAATGTCCCAATATCTTTACTAACTCCATCCATCTCAGCCTCTGTCCTTACGGGCCCACAGACCATCATCTCCACAAAGACAGAAGCTTTATTTATTTTGATCCATGCTGTTTTCTTACATATCAAGGGCAGTGTGTTTGTTGGGGTTTCTATTGCTGTGAAGAGACACCATGGCCATGGAAACTCTTATAAAGGGAAACATTTGATTGTGGTGGCTTATAGTTCAGCGGTTAAGTCCGTTATCATTATGGGAGGGGATGGTGGCATGCAGGGAGGTATGGTCCTGGAGAGGTATCTGAGAGTCTGCATCTTGTGCAGACAACGGGAAGTAGTCTGAGACACTGAGTGGGATCTTCAACATATATGAGACCTCAGAATCCATCTCCAAAGTGACACACTTCCTCCATCAAGACCACACCTACTGTGACAAGGCCACACCTCCTAACAGTGCCTCTCCCTATGGGAGCCATTTTCTTTCAAACCACCACAGGCAAAGAGGCCACAAAAGACATCTAAAAACTCTGTATTGTTTAAATACTTAGTAGATGAACAGAGGGAATAAAAACTTCAAGTAGGGGCTGGAGAGGGACCTTGGTTCAGTTCCCAGCACACACACCAGGTGCCTCACAAAAGCCTCTAACTCTAATTCCAGTGGATCCAACTCAATTTCTGTGGGCATCTGCATGCATGTAGTATTCATAAAGTCACACACCATCATATGCATACATATAAATACATATTTTGAAAACTTTATGCAAGTGAGACAAGGATGTCTGTCCTAACTTGCCTTTCTTGCATAAGAAGAGAACAGACAGAGGCGGCTGCTCAGAACCAAGCAGCTAGACCCTGCCATTCTGTGTGCCTTCCATGATATTTATTCTGTTTTTCCAACGTATTTTATTGTCTGGCATCCTCAGTTATGGGTAATTGTGGTTTTACGTTTTGTACATTATAAGTATCTCACAGTTTCACTTTTGAGTGTGTGGGGGCCATGGGTCTGGGTGTGAGTGTGGTTGTGCATGTCCCTTGCTGTGTAGGTTGGGGTCAGAGGACAATTCTCCGGAGTTGGTCCTCAAATTCCACCCTGCCTTTAAGGCAGGATCTCTCTTGTTACTGTGGCTGCATACTCAGACTGGCTGGCTGTCCCGGGAACTGTGAGCAATTTTCTCCTCCTCCCGTCTTGTTTCTCATAGGATGTGATAGTACAGACACATGCTACACAATTCAGCTTTTACATTGATCCGGGAACTCAGTTCAGTCCTTAGGCTCCTGTGGAAAGTGCTTGGCTCCCTGAGCGGCTTCCCCGGGCACACTTTTATCTTTAAGCCTCACATGTTGCTCCTTTTCCTTTGGCAAATTAGCAGAGTGAAATTTACAGGTCAAGGGTTAAGCAGATTTTATAAACTGATATTCCTGCCTGGCAGTAGGGGCTACCCAGGCTCCCTGCTCCTCTGATCATGCAGGGAGCCCTGTGTACCTGCCTGGTATGTTGGAAGAGTGGGCAATACCTGTAATGTGCCCAGGACAGGTAGGGGAAGTGGATGTGTCCAGAGACAGCCAGAAGCTTCATGTGCTATAGACGGTTAGGATGAGTCTGACTCCCCTTGGTATCATTTTGCTTTGTTACCATCTCTTATACACACGCGTGCGCGTGCGCGCGCACGCACGCACACACACACACACACACACACACACACACACACACACACACACACAGTCTTTTCCCTCATCCCAAGGGTTGGGGGTCATTCTGAACTTCCCAACTCCCTGAAGGATGGATGCGAGGGAGGGATGGAAGGGCGCTCTTTTGCTTCTATCTGAGATTTCTCACATTGCCCAGGGATTGAGCTTCCAGGAGCCCACAGGAGACTGGTATTGCTGTTTCGATCACTTCCTGCCCCAGGTTGTTGCATATGAACTCTTGCTTGCTAGGGATATTCCCTCTTACTTCCTTCAAGTCTTTGCCAACTGTTACATTTTCATTGAACCCTTTCCTTACCGCCCTGCTTTAAATTGCCACAACTCAATCCCGTATACCCTGTGTTTAATTGCCTTCTTATCTGGGACATTTCGCTCTAACACTGGGCCTTCCTCCTCCCACCAGGGACTTGTAGTAGTGATGGTTTCTGGAGATAGTTTTGATTTCCATGATGGAGGGTCCAGCTGACATCTGGTAGGCAGACTCTGGGAATGCTGCCAAGCATATCCTACAATACCCAGGACGGAGAATTTTCCAGCCTAGGCATCAAGCAAGAGCAAGGAGATGGAGAAATCCCTGGTTGTATTAAAAATATCACCCGTTCGTTTCTTTGTGCCTCTTCCCCGCCCCCAGAATGGAGGGGAAGCTTTTTTCTTTTTCTCCAGTGTCCATCACTTACACCTGGACTCGTGCCCATCACAGATGCCCCAGAAGAATGGATGAATGAACAAATGGATGATTTGATCCGAGTGAAACCAGCATCATTCGTTTTAGTAAAGAGTGACTGGCTAGTTTCCAAAATCACAACCTATACCTTAGGCTTCACCAAAATTAAAAGAGCTCACCCTAGTTTCTTTTCCTGTAGCTGACTAAAGCAACTTAAGGGAAACGGGGCTTCTTATAGATGGCAGCTCCTGGTCCATCACAGCAGGGAGCCAAGGCACCCGGGGTCTGAAGCAGCTGATCGCATTGAATATGACATCAGAAGAAGACAGCAACGAATGCATACACACCGGAGCTCACCTGGCTCACCTGCCTAGGGAATGATGTCACCCACACTTGGCAGGTCTTCCTATATCAACTAGCATAATGATGGTAATTCCTATCGGGCATGCCCAGAGGCTTATCTCCCAAGTGATTCTAACTTTTGCTGTGTTAGCAACACTGTCCCAGCCGGTGTTCTATTGCTGCACACAGACACATGACCCAGTCAACTCTTACAAAAGAAAGCATGTAATTGTGGCTTGCCTATAGTTCCAGAGGCTAGGCCATTTTCATCATGGTGGGGAGCACGGCGGTGTGCAGGCGTATATGGTGTTGGAGAAGTAGCTGAGAGTTCTATATCCAGATCCACAGGCAGCAGAAAGTCTGGCTGGGCCTGGCATGGGCTTTTGAAGCAAGCTTTTCCTTTTGGGCTACCAACCAGCTCCTAACTCGTGATGTTGAGGCTTACTGTAAGTTATGAATGCTTGGCCTTATCTTATGCTTGTCCCTCTAGCTCTTATAACTTAAACCGTTTCTCTTCATCTTCATTTTGCCTCAGGGCTCCTCCCCTCCCTTCCTCCCTCCCTCCCTCCTCCCCTTCCTTCCTTCCTTCCTTCCAGACTTACTTTCACAGCTTCCTCTGTGTCTGTCTGTCTGGCAGCTGCCTGTCTGGTCCCAGGCATCTCCCTCTTCTTCTCCCTGATTCTCTCTCTCCTCTCTCTTCTTGAGCCTAGATTTTTTCCTCCTACTTATCCTCTCTGCCAGCCAATCCTGCTATCCCTCTACTGCCTAGCTATTGGCCATTCAACTTTTTATTAGGCCAGTCAGGTGCCTTAGGCGGGCAAAGTGAAACAAAGGTAACACATCTTTACACAGTTAAACAAATGCAGCATAGACAAATGTAACACATCTTTACATAGTTAAACAAATGCAGCATAGACAAATGTAACACATCTTTACACAGTTAAACAAATGCAGCATAGACAAATGTAACACATCTTTACACAGTTAAAGTGATATTCCATAAAACCCACCCCCAGTGACATGCTTTCTCCAACAAGGCCACATCTACTCCAACAAGGCCACACCTCTTATTCCTGTTTTCCTTTCAAACACTTTCACTCTCTGGTGACCAAGATTTCAAACACATGTATCTATGGAACGCATTCTTATTCAAATTACCACAGACACTATCACAG